GGTATCTGGCAAACGAGGTCAACCGCTCACGCACATTTACCAAACATGTGCTCGCACATTGCAAACAACAGCAGGCATACGTCTGTGTGTGTGAGAGTGGGAGAGTGTGAGTGAGAGTGAGAGTGTGTGTGTGTGTATACATACGTCGACGGCGCGCGGGATGATGCGGGCCTGTTCGTGGATAGCTCCGGCCTCCAAGAAGATGGGCACGAGCTGCACCTGATCGCCGCCCTTGACAGCAAACCGCTCAGCACTCTGCACCGTCTGCAGCGCCGCGGTGCCGTCAACAGGCGCTTGCTGTCGTGGTGGTGGTTGTGGTGGTGATGGTGGTGGTGTGTTGTGAGTTTGGGGCGGGGAAAGGGTGGTTGGAGCCGATGATGAGACACAGGAGGAACAGGAGGAACAGGAGGAACACACATGCATACCGAGGCACACATGTTCACCAACACAAGCACACGCACACACGTAACTCACGCACACAAGTACGCAAGCACGCAAGCACGCAAGCACACACAACACACACAACACACACAACACACACAAGTACGCGAGCACACAAGTGGCCTGCCTTTTTTGCGAGGGCGAGGAAGGTGCGTGCGAGATCGCGCCAGGCAGTGGTGAGGCGGTCCTGTGTATCCGGGGTCGCCGACGCTTCAAGCACGTCCAGCTGCGACAGATAGCTGCGCACAGACTCCTCAAGTTTGCCTGCAGGCAACACGCACGTACACAGTTTGGGGAGGGAGCATGTGTGTGTTGGGCGGTGTGAGGGTGGGGCTGATGGGCTTTGAAAGATGAGCGGAGTGAAGTGAGAGAGCTGCAAATGGGGTCGCACTTGCACCTTCGCCTCGCACGCGACGCAGCACAGGGAAAACCAGCATGAAGCGTCACGCAAACCGGCATGACGCGCACACACACACACACACACACGCACACACGCACACACACACACACACGCACACACACACACACACACACACGCACACGCACACACGCACACACGCACACACGCACACACGCACACACACACGCACACACACACACCGTACCTTGCTGCTCAAAGAGGGCGCCCAGCTGTCGCCGCGTGTCCACAATCAGACTGGTGTCTCCCGACTGCACCGCCAGTGCCTCTGCCTGCTCAAGGTGATGCTGCGCGTGGTGAGCAACGCCGTGCTCCCTGAAAATCTTGGCCAGGTGCTTGCGCTTGGCGACGGCCTCGGACAGCTTGCCTTCCCGCTTCAAGTCTTCGCATGCCGAGAGGTTGCTGCGCAGCAGCAGCATGAGCTGGTTGTCGCTGCGGATACGCTGCTCGCCGATGCTGCCCTCTGTGAGCTCGAAGAACTCCACGTACGCATCCGGGTACCCAGACACAAGCAAGTGCAGGCAGTGCTCCTTGTGTGCCGACGCCGTTTTCCTTTATTGTCAGCACACGCGTGGACAAGTGGGCAGGGCATAAGTGTGAGCAAGTGTGAGAGCAAGTGTGAGAGCAAGTGTGAGTCAGGGGATGGTGAGTGGGTGCGGGCTCTTACTTGAAGGATCCCAGGCTGGCAAACTTGCTGGTGGCATCATCGATGACGACTGTGCGCAGGCCTCCAGATCCCAGCTTACCCGTTGTTGCACTGCGTCCATCACGGCGACCCGTTGGATCTATGGCGGTGGGCGTATGTGTGCGTGTGTGTGTATGTGTGTGG